GAGTGAAAGTAATACACCTACACGTGAGCTGTATTCATTTAGTTGAGAAAAACATAGTAGAGATGAAATCCTAGTGGATATCTAATGTATTTCTTCACTTCTATTAGTTTTGATGAAGCTGTTTAACTGAAAGCATGTAGCCAAGCCGTATGCCATTAGATATGCTGATCTGTAAGGTTACCTCTCTCACGAATTGGTGTAACTTATGCATCTCAGCCATGTGCAGCAATCTTCAAGATACACCTTTTTTTTATGAAAAGAAACAGCATATCTATCTATTTCAGTCTCTTCCATCTGTTCATTTGTGTATGATGATACAACCACAATGTATTAGAAACTGGTATCTGTATATGATAATACCATTTTTCCAGACCCTTCATTGTTTAAAACTAGATTAGAAATGAACGGTAAAGTACCTGACTTTTAATAACTAAAGCATTACTGCTACTACCTTCATATTGGTTAACCAGTATTTTCTATTTAAGAGTATGCTCTCCTATTTAGCATGTGCATTAAATTTTATCACTTATATTTCTTATAGAAATATTTTATCTTCCACGTCTCCTCTATGTATTTGTCCTCACTGGGTAATTACTTATCTGTCTCCTCCTTTCCTCTATCTTGTCACTATTTAATCTTTTTTAGCCAATATTAATGACTATTTATCCACATATCTTTTGATGCTCACAGCTTTAATATATTACTGAAAATTATAAGCTCCTCTGCAGATAAAACTGGTATCCAGTTAACCGGTAATTATATTACGAATAGCAGATGAATGACCGAACTCGCTGTTTCAGAGTATTCTAAAGACTCAGAGTAATCAATTCAATTTGGTTATGACCACCGAGATGATTACAAAAATATGGGCACGCCGGTACCTATTATTGCTAAGCCTATCGCACCATGCGTCACCAGAAGCCAATACTTCACAACCACAGCAAACATTAGCAAGTAGGCCACTAAATTTTTCAAATTCTGATTTTATCTTCATGAAGATTTCTTAAAGATATGTTTAACACATCCCTGACACACGTTAGAGCCTATTTAAAATGTTATATCCAGACAACGAGTCTATGTCCCCAACATGAAGGAGATATTGTTGGAGTAGGTTCACAGTGTAAGTGTTAGAATTGGCGACTACTTCTGTATCCACGTTTAAGGCGACTAAACAGACTTTGCTTATCTGTTCCTACTGCTCTATTCTAGATTAGGAATAAACTTTACATTGGAGTGTTTCACACTAATTAATGATTTTGTGTAGCATATCGTTTTGATTTCTCCTCTTTGTCAACGACCACCAAACATAACATCATTGAAAATGCCAATATCTTGACCCGGCCGTTTACATTTTGAAATTCTCTTCTTGCATCGTAAAATTCATCCATCTGCTTGACAAGGCGTAGTACTCCATCTTACTCATAAAACTGCAAAGTTTCGGAATAAATGACAATAAAGTAATTCCTCGTTGGTAAAATACAAAGGGTGGTGGTCAGTCCCCTATCGTTTTCCAGAAGATGGTACATAGCGGTGCACTGCAACATATGGTCCTAGATCCTCTGCAACTTCTCATGTAAATAAATACATTGCTAAACAACGCTAAATCTCCCAAGGTTCTCTATGCTGATGCAAAAATCTGGCATAATTCATACCGAACCAAGCAGTCGGTTAATATTGTCAGAGAAATGGCCCATGATTATCAATACAGTTGAGTGAGTAACCATGTGGATGGCGATGAATATGATATCGGTTTAATTCATCTACCCTCAAATTGACATACAATAACCTAGGATTCATTGTAAGTCATGACTTACAGACCACAGCCTGGATTTTCAGGACACTTTGTGTAATAATCAGAACTTTTATGAGGATCAGGGACAATATGTTCAAATCCTTATATGCAGTTAGTTAGATCCAAACTAGAAAACTGTGCTCAAGTGAGGAGTTTGCTTAAAATGTGACTAAGATCTTTTCGAAGTCTTGAAGGGGATCAGTCATCTGATCCCTGCGATGGTTAATATACATGAACCAGCTCCAGGGACTGAACTTCTACTCACCTTATTGTAGACGGAATGGATAATTTGTCAAGCTAAGCAGAATTTTAAAATATGTCTTTGAACTTGATCTATTTGTTCTTATTTTTTCCAGTAGTTGAGAATAACTTGGAGGATATAACAGGTAAGTACATAAACAAAGGACGAACATTACCGCAGTAGGATAACAGTTTTAGTGCCCAGTAACCAGTATTTAAAGCCAACTTACAGAAGAAACGTTGTCCGTGCTATCAATGGAAACATCCAAGACTGGACGGACAAAACACAGAGATCTACTAGTAAAGGACTAACATAGGCGCACAATCTTCTATCCTCAATTCTAAAATCTGAAATATGAACAAACAGAACTGGATACCTTAGCTCATTGTTTCAGCATTATTTTATTATGCTGTCAAAATAAGACTTGGTCCATTGTACTGGGATTCGTAAAGTGTCATACTTTACCTACAGTCATCACTCCTGTAAACCAAACCAGAATCTGTAAACTTTTGGTCAGCACTGGCATGTGGAAACCAGAAAGTTTAAAAAAGACTTCCAAAATATTTCGCAAATTATCAAGAATATTTAGGGGCTACCGTTATTCTGTAGTATAGTGTATCTCAATTTTTAATGATCCGTACAAAACTACGTACTAATTCGGGAAATGACCTAAATTCTGGAAGTTCGCCAAAGCGAAATTTGGATACTTTGCAGATTGCCCTATGTGAGCCCGAATTTTCCGTTGAGAGACTGATAGCTCAGTGAAACTGCTTAAAAAATATAGCTTCTCAGATCAATAGCTTCCTTTGAGATCAATGATAGTGAAGCACATTAACAAAGATTCTTTCTTTTTTGAAGTGACAGTTAGCGGTGCCATCCTTTACGTGAAAAACGCCTTGACTTTTACAGCAGTGGGAACGGTCGCATATGAAAGTTGTACATGCGTAATGCTGCATCGTTGGTTAAAACACAATCAACGAGATATCAGCCTAGCCCTAATGTAATGAATCCCTGAATATGTGTTGGAAGACTTCCTCCTGAATAAGTCGAATCTCTGGATAGATAAATGCAGATACCATGTTGTAAGACACTTCAGCGTACCATCAGTCGACTGAAACCCGCAAAAAACAGAAGCACCAACCAATTCTTTTGATCATAGGTTAATGCAGATATCAATTTCCTTAGCTGTTGTACAGCACATTATGGCGGAAACCTGGTACGATCATCTGCATGCAACATCACTTGTAGACTTAGTATTGGCTGACATAGCTCATGTAAACTTCACCTAGAATCTTCGACTCTTTGGTAACAGTGATCATTTTCAGATTCACAGCAGGCGTCTTGTGCCTTGACAGTACCCTCGCTAGACCCAATTTGTGGAAAACGAGGATGTAAGCTATTAACTTGACTGCTCATTTGGAGGACTGTGTAGTCAATTCAGAAGCCCCATCCAGAAGTGTGTGGTGTTCCTTGAAAGAGTTTTATGCAAGAGTGTCTCAACGATTCATTCCATGGGCTCTCTTGAAGGGATAGAAACGTTGTCCTCCAAGGATAAACTGCGAAATCCGAAGTTTAGTGCAACGGAATAAAAATTGTTGGAGTTGTCACTCATCTCAGCGGTACCTTGGTGAAGAAGCATTACATAGAAGCCCGGAATAAATTTTTCAGTGCTACCTGCTGATTTTAAATATGATTCGAAATGCCCTGTATTTAAACTGTACTGTGACACCCTAAGAGATAAGTTTCCTAAATGAACACTAGGAATAAAACGTATCCTGGTATCACAGCGCTAATCCAACAGACTGGCACTAAACGGTTAGTTGAACACGATAAGGACAAAGCAGAGACTACAAGCGGATATTCTGATGAGATATTTACCCAACAGCCTTCGATAGACAAGAATTTAATGACAGAAACATTGAAATTCAGCTAGGTAAACTCTGCTGAGATAAATCGGAATGATGTATTTAGGACATCAAGTATTCTGGACATAGGAAAACTAATGGGACCGGGTGTGTTGCACCAAAGGCTGCTTTAAGAGCTTATACATTACTTAGTTGGACCATTGACCTTTTGGACTGTCCTTTACTGGAGACTGGAAGGATTCTATGATCACCCACCCACAAGTTAGGTGGGTGGGTGATCATAGCACCTAGCAAAGTGCAGATCCTTTAGCTTGACTAGCATAATAGCAAATATCCTAGTCAGAGTAATTAAGAAAGCTATTACAGTCAACCTAGAGAGTAATACTGTGTTGTCTCGTTAGCAACACGGGTTTCGTAGGTGTTTCTTATGCCAGACAAACTTTCTCACACTTAGAGAAAGTTTTTTAAAGTCTAAGGATGATGGTATGCATAGAGATATCATTTTCATAGACAGAGTACGTCATTCCAAGTTCCTCATGAAAATATAAATTTCTAGAATCACTGGCAGCTTACTTTCATAAATCATTACTAGTAGGAGATGAAGAGCAAGGATCAATTCGCAACTCTTCTCGTGAGAGTCGGTAAAAGGTAGAGTGCTGAAAGGTAAAGTCCTGGGTATCTTCCCTTTTAGTAAGTACACAAATGAACGGCTGAATATCATGAAATCACTCATTGCTTTCTACGTTGATAATATAAAACTTTGGTGAGAGACGAGATGGTTAGGATCTGTGTTCACGAAAACGGTTTCTCAGCCTGGTCAGATAAATGGTTGATGCTTATCAAGGCAGGTAAGTGTGGGAGCATGCACATAAAGCACACGTATGGCAACACCTATGACATTCGGGGACTCGTCCAACTTTATCATCAACAAACAATGACCTGTAAGTCACGATACAAGGATTACTCAGTGCTGCCAATTGGTCTCAGGAGGAAGTCGTAGTACACTTCCAACAAGCGGGACGTTTGCCAAAGTAAGAGATGATTTATTCACCACCTCATTTAAATCTAAAAGTGGTGCCCACTGACTTATTCAAAAGAGGAATGAAAAGCACAAAAATTTATTGGGAGAGGAATAATATACGCTCCTAGCCTTGATGATTAAAAAGATTCACACTTATATAACAATATGCAAATTTGTTTACAGAAACTGGAAATGAAACATCCGATAGTGATTTAGTAGCTGAACACAGCAAATGCAGAAGCTACACAGAACAATGAGTCGTTCATAAATAATGCTTCAGCATAATTGTCTGTGTCAGAATCCCAGTAACATCGATAAGCTACCTTCACACCTTGGCCCTTTTGCTCTCCAATGATGACTTGTACCAAATATCTGTAGCGCTGTAAAGATAATGTCTTTTTTAGCGTTTGCTTGATTTCATCTGATAGGGCAACACACTTCTCTGTATTAAATTAAAACCACAACTATTTATCATGCCTACCATGAATGTTCTCTGGAGAATAAACTTCATTTTCCAGTCGTTCTCTTAATATTTTAGAGAGGATACTTTTCACCGTCCATGGTCGGAATTTTTGTTCAAACTGAGGTCTTATGACATAAGAATTAGGGTTTTCTTCTGAAATTATAGCATGACTTGATGGTTCCATAAAATTACAGTTTGCAGTTGTCATACCAACGAATCTTCAATGTCCAATATTGATAGTGCGAGTGTAGAAAACTGACAGTTTTTGATCTCTCGCGTCTAGTTCTTAGGGCTTGGTTGGAGTTCTTTGGTTCGCTCCTGCGGTGGACGAGGAAATCCCCTCTGCCTTCTTGCTTTTAGCCTCGGTGAAGTCGATGTTTTGTGGGGTAATAAGATGTAATTTGTAGTGATTGGGAAGCTACGGGTTGCTGGGATGGTTAGCGGACTGTCCAATATCGAATATCCTTTTAACAAGCTTGTATAAACCAGTTGAGTCCTTCTTCTTCGCTTCTTGGTCTTCCGGAACAGCTCAAGATCTTTGGCGGATTCCGATACAGTAGATCCAGCCAATCGTCTCCTATGGCTCGGATTAACAGAACAGGAAGTTAAGTGTCGGTTTGTTTGCCTTGAACTGTGGTGCAGTTGGCTTCTTCAGATGTCCAGTTGCCACACAGTTGTTCGGACTGGTCGCTAAAGAGGGTTAGGGACAGTGAAGAAAAACCCTAGAAAGTGTTTGTGTGAGTAAAATAAGAGGGGAGAAGTGAACTAATGAAGTAACCCACTTACACCCAAGGCAGGTGAGGAGGGGTGCAAAGGTGTAGAGAACTCAGGTGAGGCTAACTTATGGCTAGTGGAACGGATGAGAAGGGCTAAAATGGTTACAATGGAAAGAAAAATGGTTGGGGTGAATAGACATCACTTCGTGTTCCAGCTATATGTGGGTAGACCGTGAGTCTCTGCATGACTATCTAGCCTCCTCTTGAAGCTTTCAATAGTTGAGGTGGAGACCAACTCTGCTGGTAGTGCCTTCCGGTACCCACAGACTCGGAGGGGAAGAACTGTGAACGCACATGCGTTTTCCACCTTCCGTGGGCCTTTCTCTTGCAGTTTCCTCTAGGATCTCCGTAGTGGCCACTCGGTAAAATTACGGCGTTCGGGCGACTTGGGTTACCCGGTATTTTGTAAGCCATTTTTAAGTCACCTCGTCACCCTTGGTAGCTAGGAGAGTATAGACCTAGGTCTTTCAGTCCAACATCATATGGTTTTCGTTGCATTCCAACAACCCCTTTTGTGGCTCACTTCTGGACTTTCTCCAGTATGTTAGTGCATTCTTCAGCTGTGGTGGAGCGAAGACGTTATGAACCTCTAGGTGGGGCCATACGTAAGTCTTGTAGAGCTTCAGAAGGAGTTCTGGGGTGAGGGCATCCAGTTGTCTACGCACGAAGTGTAGTAAACCGTATGCTTTCGGGGCATTACCTGGGTAATTGGAACTGGTGTCCAGTTTCCCCGTCACCGTTAAACACAGGTCTTTTTCTAATGTGGTGTGGGATAAACGTGAACCACACAGACAGTGGGATGTTTTCTGCACCTGCATTTCGTGAACTTCAGTGGCATCGGGTAACGTTGGGGGCTGTTCGCGCAATTGGTATGCGCACTTTCTTGATGGAATGTTTAGCTGTGTGTTAAATGTGGTGCTCAACATTTCAGCAATCTCCTGTCCAGAGAGGTTTTCTCCGTTTCGGTCTTTTATGAAGCATGCCTCTCGGCTTGCTGATTTTCTCTTGGACATGAACCGGTATAGGTTATTTGGGTTCATTTCAAGTCTTTTGGCGAGGTTGGACTGGAACGACCTCCCGTCCCCCCTGTTGCGTAGAGTCATGTATGCGTCATGGTCGTCTTGTTCTCTGTAGTCTCCATGTATGCCATGGCCTTCTCTCGGCTTTTAGAAGGCACTCAGTGCACTGTTTTAGCCATGAGGTTCGCATTCTGGTTACTGTTACCGCTAAGGGGACGTTTTGCGAGATGGCCGCCTTAATGATATCTTTTACCAGTTCCCAGTGCTGGTCGATCGATAAAGAACACCAATCCACTTGCCACAGAGCTCCTGATAGGCTTCTGTTCATACCTTCGTGATTCACCTTGTTGTAACGCAGGTAAGGGTGAGGTCCCTCCCACGATAGTTCTTCACCAATTACCAGGCCGAACATTACCACAGCGTGATCGCCACTTCTAAGAGGGGTTTGTACCTGAACGTTTTCAACCAGAAGGCGATAACTAGTCAGTAGGTAATCCAGTTTAGATGGTTGACCACCTGACCCCAGCAAGTGTTGTCATTGATTTTTTCCTGCAGTCCAGCCATTTGGATGGCGTTTGCCAATAAAATCTGGAGCACCTTTTAGCTGGTACTGTGGATATTGCTTGGAGTAGTTTTTGGTTGTGTTCCAAGTTGCTACTAGGGGACCTATAGATTCCTCCAACTAGGAATTTGGTGTGTTTGACCATGAAGTGGCACCAGATAGAGTCTGGGAGCTCTGTCAATACCGCGTCGGAGGTTTGTTCACTTCTGAGCCAATTGTTCACTTATATTGCAACCCCCCCTCCGTCCCTATGTCTTCTCTCTCTCCTGAACAGAATCATGTCATCTATGTTAACTTCGGTGTCAGTTATGCCTGGTGACAAAGATCTTTCTGTCAGGATAGCGATTTCCCGGACGAGGTCGGGATAGAGGGGTCGGAGCTCTGACATTTTACATCGAAGTCCTCTCATGTTGCTGTAGAGACACTTGGAGGTGCTTCTGGTAACGTAAGATGTCTCTGAGTTAATTAGTTGCACTGGTTTGGATGTGGGGGTTTCTACTGACTGGCCAGTTCCAACGGAACCGGCCCAGTTACGTCTTCCCCAACGTCGACTGGTGCACTCGGTGTTGGGTGGAGGTTGCTGGTCTGACTCTCAACGTTTCGGTTTAGGGTTACGGTGGCCTGAGCACAGGGTGTAGCTGCTGTCTGCTGTTGCCATAGTGTTCTCGGTCTGCTTTCACAGCAGCGAGCGTTACCGCTTACGGTGCCCTTGACTTTGTACCACATCTGCAGCACTCCGGTGAGCACTTCTGGGGATTCGAAGTTGACAACCATTAGTATGGGTGAGGTCATGGTTGTCAGATGCGAGGGGCGTTGCAGTCTGCCAATTGTCATAGCTGTAACCCCACTCGGCTCCATCCCAGCCGATAACTACCCCCATTGTTTGAGGTCATGTGTGTACCTTTCACCTGGGGTACCGGTCACCATTTCAGGCATTCCACTTGTGACCATGGTTGTGGGTTTTAGTGGACCGGCTGCTTCTCGAGACGTCCTTCTTAATACCCATGATCGGTCGGGCCTAGCTCTAGTGTTGGATGATGTGTTGATGACCAGGGCGTGGGACAGTCTGAGGAACTTTTCGGCGTCTCCAGTTGAGCCTACGGTTACTCTCATTGGCCGAGGCTTCCCTGTGGGTGAGTGGGAGCCTCTGTACAGTCGACACAGTTTCGCCTCGCTAGCGCTCAGACCTAGCATGGCACAAAGGGAGTCCCACTGTTGTCTGTCGAACTTGGCCTTATGCTCCAAAAGGCTACCATCTCAGACAGGAACGTTAAATAGAATGACAGAGCTAGATCGCCCAGTGATGCCATTGTTATCGGATCCTATGGGTGCGTTTCCACGGATGCTTCGGGCTTTTTTCTCCACCCTAACCCATTCCTTATGCTGTCCGCTAGTTGCCGTCTCTGGTGCGGCTCCAAGGCTTGAGATAGATGCAGTTGACGTTGGCGTAGGCAGTCTTTTATTCTCAAGTTTTTTGACCTTTAATAGGCCACTACCAAAATCCTCTGGAGAGTCAATATCCTCTGTGATAGTGGTTTGGACGGATGCCTGCTTTTTGGTCACTGAAGATTCATCGGTTGCATTAAGTAAGCCTGAAGCTAGATGCGGTCTCAGACGGCACTTTGGGCAAATGTACCAAAACCAAGTGCACGGGCGACGCGTCACAAAGCTATGGTACTGAAGTGGCACTTCTTTGCCACATCGGCAGTGCACCCATCTGTTGCACTCAAAGGCAGTATCACTTTTGGCAACGGTGGGAGCGCATGTACAGCAGTCGTCATCATGTCCATGTGATTTTTCCAGGTGCTTCCGCCCTACTCTTTGACGTTTCCGCCTAGTGGTTCTCACTGAGGGGTCCAGGTGGGCGCCGGGAATAGCATGGGCCCTGGGTTTACTTGACTAGGTATAGTGACGTTTACAGTGCCGGGAGGACTGGTTGCAAGGCTAACTTCGAGTGTTGCAAGCCGTGATTGTGACCGTTCGGTGAAATGGACCTAGGTGGTTCGTTCGTATCCTCAGTTGCTCTCTCTGCCACGTTTTGGCGTCTCGTAGATCCAGCCCTGGCAACTACCGAAAATGAAGTGGTCAATAACTGTGACGAGACTGTACTCGAAGCATTTCTACTGCCTGCTTTTTTCGGGGTCAGCACACTTTTGCCACGCATATCAATATAGTTAAAAACATGTTCCAAAACGTTGTTCCGAATAAATTGATTAGCACCAATTTTATTGCCCCTCTAAGCTGTAAGGCTGGGGGTGTGAGCATCCTGTGAGTGAAATACCAATGGAAATCAAGGTGGATCACTTGTATCTTCTCTGTGTTGTTTAATTTGGTTTCTGGGCGCTAGCTTTTTGATCACCTGACGAACTTGTTGCCAACCCCTTTATCGAGTACATGCTAGGAAACCCCGGAATGGTGCAGCACCGACGAACAAGAACAATAATCACATTAATTTCAAATCAGTTTGTTGACATAGATTTGAAAAGAGAAGTAACTCGGGATGCATCTTGGTAAATCACACCCTTCAGAAGTTTTCGCACATACCTCAACAAATTTCTACAAACTCTAGCTGTCTGCTTCACAGAAAATCCGTAGTCTCAGCACCCGTTGCACTTATAAACCCAGAAGCGGAAGGCCTCTCGTGAAATTTAACTTGAGCAAAAGTGTTGACAAATTATGTGCGTTTAGTCAGAGAAGTGAAGCGAGATTACATTAATAAATATTCGAAGTTCACTTATCACAGACAACGGGCGAGCCATGAAGACTAAAATGCTTCCGCATCCAATATCAAATATCTTTTAACGAGCTAGTGTAAACAAATTGATTTTTTCGCTCTTGCTTCTAGGCCTTGCGAAACGGTT